ACTAAGCCACGGCGCCATCTTGTATAACGGTACAATTTTTAGTGCCAGATACGGGAGTTTCGAATTACTTTTGTTATCGAAAGACAACAAGAAGTAATTTTCTACGTATCTCTATTGTCGTCAGCAGATTTTTGTTAGTGATTGTCGTGAGCAGTTTATTAATTTTGTCACACTTCAAAAGAAAAAAAAAACAAGTTTTTTTCTGAATGATAACAACAACAATAAACAAAAATCAATGTCTTCGTTGCACACACATTTTTTTATTGTTTTTAGAAAAAAGTGATTTGTTTACAAAATTGAATTGATTTTTTTTTTGGGAAATTTGCTCTCTATCTTCAATGAAGTGAATTTCGATTTATATTGAAAATCATTGAAAATGGTCGCCAGATGGCGCCGTGGCTTAGTTGGTTAAAGCGCCTGTCTAGTAAACAGGAGATCGTGAGTTCGAATCTCGCCGGGGCCTATCTACTGAGGTACTTACTTTTTTATTCTTGGTTTCTTTTATTTTTGAGGAATTTTTCATTATATGGAAAAAAGGAGGATTTGCGAAGGAGAGGTAACAATCATAAAAATTTGTCGCTATTGAATTTATTCGAAAATAGAAAATAGTTCGCAATATATTTTTTATAATATATTAGAGGCAACTCTCCTACAGAAGGAAATTCACCTACAAAATAATAACCGTATAATGAGCGTGCTGTATAAGATAGATATTCGTCGGCTATAAACCCCTATTCCATAGAGAATATGATCGACTGTAGTAATATATATTTAAATGAGCATTTTTTGGATTTTTTGTTTAGAAAAAAATAGACTTATTGGGACTTTGAATTATGTAATTAATTATTATTTACCTCCTAAGGGTTACCGCGATAAAATACCTCCACACCATCAATCAAATTATTCAATACGATTTTATATAGCATATGCATACATGTATGTATGGTCGAATTTTTAATTCCATTGATCGGAAGTTACGTGGGTTTTTTACCCTCACATTTTTTTTAATTTTATTTAACCGATGCCACACAACAAAAATTAATCAACATCTGTTGTTGATAGGCCCCGGCGAGATTCGAACTCACGATCTCCTGTTTACTAGACAGGCGCTTTAACCAACTAAGCCACGGCGCCACACATTATATTTTCAGAATTGTTAAAAATAAATTTTTTTTATTTGGAATTTTTACTAAATTTAGAAAATATTTTTAAAGAATTGAATTTTCGGAATTTTAAAATTTTTTAGAGTGAAATATTTTCCATAGAGATTTTTATTAATTTCACTATAAATTCTATTGAAATTGTATTATTCAAAAATATGTTTATAGCGCGTAGGCGCATGGCGCCGTGGCTTAGTTGGTTAAAGCGCCTGTCTAGTAAACAGGAGATCGTGAGTTCGAATCTCGCCGGGGCCTACTTCGGAAGAGGTTTTTTCGTTTTTCAGAAATTTCTGTAATAAATCGTTGGTCAGTTTTTCATGAGGCATCCGATATAATATATATATATATATAGTTCAAATTCTTAAATAGTTCCTCTACTACAAATTATTATTTTTTTTTTTTTTTTGAAAATTGTAAAGCCCAGTCGAAGGTCGTTTAAGTAATGAAAGACAATTTCCAGATTGTCAAAGGAGTAGAATCTGCTTCTTATCAATGTTCAACCAAATAATTCTCAAATTTATTTCAATAATATGTATAAAGCATTAAAAATGTCTACTACAATTTTTTTTTTGTATATTGTAATTTTTAATGAATTTATTGGAATTTTAGATCCAAAATACGGCTCTCCTTAGTATTTCAATTTCCAATATAATCCCTGGCAAATAATTTCCATTATCTATTTCCGCAGTTCCCAACAAACTTGGCTGAAATAATTTTGCCCGCGGTGCATATGGCGCCGTGGCTTAGTTGGTTAAAGCGCCTGTCTAGTAAACAGGAGATCGTGAGTTCGAATCTCGCCGGGGCCTAGCAACAACTAGGGTTGTAATTTTTTTGACAGATTTATTTGAAAAGTAAAATTTTAAAGGATAATATGTGGACCAAATATATTTTTCATGCTAGATTAACCTCATTTTTTCGATTTTTTTCTTTATTTGAAAAAGTTTCTAATGAAAAACATTTATTACATTTTTTTTAATTTTATGAGTTAAATAAAAATTTCGAAAAAATCGAAATTTATTTGAAGACGTTTCTAATGAAAAATATTTCTTATAGTTTTTTTTTCAATTTTGTGCGTTGGAAAGAAACTTAGGAAAAATTAATTAATTTAATTTTTCAATACAGGGCTTGGATAAATTTCAAATAATTTTATAAAACATTTTTTTTAATAATATATGTAAATGTTTTATTAACATATATTATTAAAAAAATTAAATTGAAAAAATTTTTTTCTCATTGATTTGTTACATTCAATGTCTCGTTGTATCTATAATTCCCATTATATTTTTCTTGAATTAAAAAAACTGTATGTTTTAAAACTGTAGCCGTTGTGCCAAATGGCGCCGTGGCTTAGTTGGTTAAAGCGCCTGTCTAGTAAACAGGAGATCGTGAGTTCGAATCTCGCCGGGGCCTACTTCGAAAGAAGATTTTTTTTCTTGCAGAAATTTTTGTATTTCTTTTCTTTTTGTCAGAAATTTCTGTAATGAATCATCGGTCAGCTTTATACCCGGCAGATATGAAAATTGTTATTTATTCTGACGATATCTGAGAAGAAAATTCCCTTAGAAAATATCAGGGAAATCAAATTACCAACCACTTTGAGTACTGTACTCAAAGGATGTTATTCTGTATTAAAGAATTAAGCATTATATGTGGCAAATTTGAAAATGTGATTTATTCTGACAATATTTGAGAACATAATTTTCATATGAAATTTAAGGACCCAAAGGTGAAATGAAATCAATGATGATGATCATAGAATATGATCGAAATATTGGAGAAGAAAATCAGTAAAAAACTTTTGTTTTTATTTTCCTCTAACCTCAAGCCAAACTATTTAAAAAAGGAAATTTTCGATATTTAAAAATCTATTGATCGTAACTGAAGAAAATTCGGGCTTAATTTTCTAGAGAAAAATATGTTGTTTTGTGTTTCGTATCTCATTGCTTCAACTAACTTTACAAATAATTCTCATTATTGTTTTCCTATATACATAACATAATTGTGTGAAATAAATCCATGGCGGACTCAAATGGCGCCGTGGCTTAGTTGGTTAAAGCGCCTGTCTAGTAAACAGGAGATCGTGAGTTCGAATCTCGCCGGGGCCTGATCGAAGTGAATTGTTTTTTTTTATACCTTCCACAGTAGGTTGAAGTTTATATTAAATTTGTCATTTAGTTTTCATAATAACGAAGTATTCACCCGAGAAGACTTTTTTTTGAATTTCTTATCAAAAAATATTGAAATCTTAATTTAAAACATTTTCTTTAACTGATTTGCATCATTCGTTGTATAAACGTGTGACAATTCCCATTATGATTTTGTGCAATGAAAAATATTTATGTTTGAAGAATTGGTGACCCGTGGCCATATGGCGCCGTGGCTTAGTTGGTTAAAGCGCCTGTCTAGTAAACAGGAGATCGTGAGTTCGAATCTCGCCGGGGCCTGATCTAAGTGGAGTTTTTTTTTTATTTTAGTAGTATTATTTTATTTGTCAGTATAAATTTTTAATTTGATTATTATTTTATTTATTAGTTAAAAATTTTAATTTTATTATTTTTAATTTGTGTTTTTTTATTTTTATAATTAATGTACAGTAAAAACTCGCTATTCGGATTATCCGGATTGATTGCAGACCCCAATCCGGATTACCGAGATTTCCGGATTATCGAGTTTTATTAATTGGTTTAAATTTATATTAATTTGGTGATAATTTAATTATTTTTATGCTTTTATTAAAAATGAAATTTATTCATTTCAAAAATATGAACTTTGAATATAATAGGTACCATTTTCAATTAAATTTGCAACGATTTTTTTATCAAAATAAAAAGTAACGTATCTTTACAATCCGGATTTTTGAGTCAAATAGGTCAATCAATCCGGATTATAGGATACGCAATGGGTTGTGAAATGCAGTCCGGATTACCGAATAATCCGGATTGTCGAGGTTCGGATTATCAAGTTTATACTGTATATACTTTTCAATATAATTTTTATTTTAAAATATGACCACCAAAAATAAATTAGCCATTTTCCACAACCACACAACAATTGAATTACGACGCACAGGCCATGTGAAGTAAACTAATTTTAAATAAATATTTTCCCAAAACACAACATACAAAAAACTGAAATTTAATTCAATTTAAATATACACCAAACACCATAAGTCAAAAAATTTAATTATTTGTAACTATGAATCCGGTGATACTATTATCCTTCGTATATCATTTCCTAGCTCCATGGATTTTTATGCGACGAAAAAAAAAATATTCCCAAAACGCTGGCGAACCCCCCACTAAGCCATAATACAGAAAAATAATTAAATTAGTGTTGTTTATAAATTGAATTTATTTTCAAATTGATGATGGACATCCGGTGAGATTTTATTCACCATGGTGTCTAGGGGTAGGGCGGGAGTGAGAGAGGATAAAATCCGTCAATATTGTAATAAAAAAAGGACTCTGTGTTTATCCTTGTTTTGTTTAAATCTCTAGAGTCATCATCGTCATCATGGTAGAGAAGATAATTGATATTGAGGTTGTCGTGTTTTTTATTCTTCTTTTCTACACTAAGTTGATTATTGGTGGTACAATAGGGATAATGCTATCCACTAATGGAGTGACCGCCACAATCAAAATTAATCAAATCAGTATTGGGTGTTTTTATCAGAGGATTTCATAATGAAAATACAGAGGAAGAAAAATGTGTTGGAAAGGAAAGAGGAGCTTTGGAGCTCATCCCATTTATTACTGCTAGTTATCGATATGGTATTTGTTTTACAAAATTGTATTTGTCTTACAAAATATTTGTCTTTTAATAGAAATCCTTGAAACTTACCGTTTTTACAACTTGATTTAATATAGCCGCCTTATCCGGTTTGCTCGAGGTTGCATCACCGCGTCTGTTAAGCTGTAAAAATTCGGATAGTTGCTCGATATAATTATTTTCCAATTCACGACGTCGTTTCTCATTGTTGCATTTGTTGATTTGGGATTGAGGCTAGAAAATAAATAAATAACATTAAAAATAGTTTTCAAGGATGTTTAATATTTTTTAAAGGATTATCCACAGAAGTGTGTTTTTTAAATATACACAGGCGTGTTTTTTTTTTAATTTTAAAGGACTATACATAGGAGTGGATTTTTTAATTTAAAAATATTTGTAAAAGGGCTTTCCACAGGTGTGGATTTTTTAAAAATATTTTTAAAGGACTATCCAGAGGCGTATTTTAAATAGACTATCCACAGGCGTGGAATTTTTTTAATATTTTTTAAGGACTTTCCACAAAATATTTTTCGCAGTCTACCCTTAGGCGTAGATTTTTTTAAAAATATTTTTTCACAGTCTACCCTTAGTCATTGTGTTCTTTATAAATATTTTTTTCAAAACTTACCAAATTCGCTTTTGAATCGTTTTTCTTACGTATTTTACGACTCGACGACGTCGTTGAATTGGTTGAGATCGGTGATGCCACCGCATTCATAATGGCAGGACGATGTAAAGCAGCAAAATTTGCTGCAGCAGCTTTATGCAGTGACGACGCTGGCGTCAACTGATTATTTTGATGTTGATGATGATTATGCAGCTGTTGTTGTAGATTTTGTGTTAACAAATTATTATTGTTGTTGTTAAATAAATTGTTAGAAATTTGATTATTTAGAAATAAATTTTGTTGTTGTTGCTGTTGTTGCAGATTAAATTGTTGCTGCTGCTGCAATTGAGATATACGGGTCAACAACAAATTTGCGGCAGCAGCTGTATTTGGCGAAACACGATCCGTGGCTGTGATTGGCGCCGTTGCTGCTGTTGTTGCTGCGGATGATGTCGATGATGAGGACGAAGAAGAAGTCGACGATGACGACGACGACGTGGATAATGATGAATTTAAAGAGGTATTGCCGTTGTTGTTGTTGCTGTTACTGCTGTTGTTATTGTTGTTGTTACCGCCACCACCTCCCACACTACCGCGACTACCACCAATAGTGGTGGGGAGGGGTACAACACCGGCTGATGTCGGTACGACCGGTGCCAGCTGTCCTAACCCCGTCGTTGATCCAGTATTGGAAACAGTTACAGCAGCTGTTGCTGCCGCCGGCGATGAACGTGGCAGATTGCAAATGTTTGTACGCCCGTTCCCCGGAGTTTGTCTACCACCACTAGGGCTAATGCCCCCCTCTGTTGCTGGGGACTTTGTGGATATTGTTGGGGTCGCCGCCGATCCTGCCGTTGATTGATTTCTTGAGGCAGTGCTAATGTTGCAGGCGTTCGAAGCAATTGTTGTGCTGGTTGATGTTTTAAGGGGAGAATAGCCGCCACCGATGCTGCTGCTGTTGATTGTGTTTTTGTTGCTGCTAGCAATGTTGTTGTTGTTGTTGGAATTTGTTGCACCAAATGTGTTCGGCGAAAATGTTGTTGTAGCAGTTTTTGCGTTTGTTGGTGGTGGTGATGATAATGACGACGACAATGTTGCCCAATGGTCTGGTAAATCACATGGGCCAAGCCTAAAATGGGGAGAAAAAATTGAAGAAGAAGAAGAAGAGGAGAAATATTAGAATTTATTAAAGACAACAAATTAAAAAAAAATATATGTATGTGTATATGTGATTTTTTACAAAAATTGTTTGAAGTTTACGAATTTTTAAAAAATATTCTTCAACGACTATTCATTGGCGTAGATTTTTCAAAAATATTTTTCAATGTGTTTTATAGGCACAGATTTTTTTTTAAATATTTTTTAAGTATATATATGGGCAATATTGCCAATTTTTTAACATAGCTGAAGCGGAGGTTCACCCCTTTATAACTCGGGAACTACTTAAGTATATGAACAAAAGTGAATAGTTTTGGGTTAATTGATCTGTCGTTGCAAACTGTTCATGATATTGACCTCCAAACTTTATTTTGGTGGAAGCTGTGCCTACTTTAATGTAAAAAAGTGTGTAAAAACACGTTGAGGCGAACCAGTTTTTTTATGTTCTCTATCGATTTGTGACTACGCCAGTCATTGCACGGTCTTCGTGTCAAAATAAAACTAGAAGCCAACAAAATGGGGACTACGCCCCTTATGTATCATTTTTCAAAATTTTAACTGCATCTACCTTTAAATGATGCTGACATTTTGAAGCTCGATTTTGAGTGTTTTTTTTAATTTTACTTCTAGCTTTAATACGCAAGCAGGAAGTTATAAAAATCGATTATAAGATTATTGTAGTCGCGAATCTGCGTAATTTGATATGTATTTTGTGTATGTAGTATGCACAGCTTCAGAGTAATACTCATCCGAAGTTGCGAATTTTGTGCGATCAAATTTCTAAAAAACCTATTTTTCGGGCCACATTTTTAGATCTGTCAACTGAATGATATGGGTACCCGCGATCATAAAGGTTTTTTACGTTTCGGATGATATAAAATCTTCTTCGTGAAAATCCATCTACTAGAACGGCGGGAACTGGCCTTCCAAAAACACGAAATTTGGCAAAAAATGTTTTTGAAAATATCGCGGATTTATTTGCGTTTTCTGTGTTTCATTTCCGCTTCAATAAATGACCTCATGCGGATTTTGATCTTTCTCGAAAAGAGAACTTTAAAAACTTCAGCCGAAAGAGAGATGTACGCAATTTATCTCAAAAATAGATTTTGCTGGCACATCCATGGTTCTTAATGGACCACATTGAAATGGTATAGATCGATGTATTTTTTTAGGGTGCACACCGAAATCGGATGCGCGTTAATGGCATATGGTGTTTTCGGAAATTATTCGCGTTTTAAGATTTTTTGGGTACTTCGATGTAACGTGCGGCACATCTTAGCCGTCAAATGAAATTTCGCAAAATATGTATGGATTGGAAGATAAACTTCAGTACTTCCTGGAAACCGCATGCGCATCAAATGATTTTGAGAATTACGCGATTTACACGCAATTTAAAATGTATATTTCATAATATTTTTTTATTTTAAGATTTATTCCTATTTATAGAATTCTAAGATTTATCGGAAGGGTCTTGATATAATCCGGAAGGCGTATACTTATACACAAAAAGTGATTATTATTATATATGTCAATTTTTCGGCGAAATTCGGGTAAAATAGCAGAAAAACCCCAACATTTTTTCTAAAATTTCTTGTATACAATTAAAAAAATAAATATGATGACATTATTTTTTCGATCCAAAAAAACAAATATTTTTCCTCAATATCTTGTTTTGTTGTCGCTGTGATTTAGAAACCGCTACACGGACTTGTGTGATTTTGATATCATTTGATTCATCGTGGTGTTTAGATTATGTAGATATTTTTAAATTAATTTTTAGGCGTGTGTATGTCATTAATATATTGAAAATATTGATGTAATCTGCTATATATTTTTTATTTTTCTCATATTTCGCGAATATGTGCAACTTTATCGTGATTATTATAATATATTCATATTCTTATTTTACGGAGGAAGATATATATCAACGTTTTTGGTCAATATAATAAACGGCGTAATTTTAAGATTTTTTTCTTATGCCCAAAATTAAAACCTCGATAACTTTTGCGCGCATCAACCAAAAATTTGATCGCGAACGGTTTCGGAGTCAGAACATTTTTCTCTATATGTATACCAAAAATCATTGATGTGCCACAAAAACAAAAAAGCGGATTTTTTGAAAATGGAATATTAAAAAATTGGCAATATTGCCCATATATATATATTTTTTTATTTTTTGAGAATATTTTCTTAGGGAATTTACTTACGTCAATTTTCAGGGAATTTAAGTCGTGAATTTTTAAGGAAATATTCGATTTCTTGAGAACGGTTTTTTTATAAACAATATTGGAGCCATTTTCTCACTTCCAAATTTTCCCATCACAATTTCGTGGTTTCGACCTCCCACTAACCACACGTCCTCCACGCTGCCCTCATCTACGTATTTTTTCCATAGTTTATTTTTTATCATAAAATTCGAAACAACCTGCATATTTTAGTTTTCTATTTCCCTTATCAACCGTTATTTTTATAAACAATGAGACAATGTTTCGCCACCACATTGTGGCTAGGTTTTGAAAACGACTGTTTGCTTAAAGCCTCTCCTTTGTTTCACCCATTCACTATCTATTTATCAGTTCACAAATTTAGTTTTGTGGTTGTTGTTATTAAATATATTGTTTCATTTAATTATAAAATTCTACTCAAGTTCCAAACTAAAATTTTGACACTAGAGTCTATTAGGCGCTTGTCTAGTGTCTAGTGGTTAGGAATTTAATTAAATTTGTTTCAGGGAGGGGGAGTTTATGTTGCTGTTATTTTTTATTTGAAAACTAACTCTAATATTGAGTTAGCATTAGAAGAAATATTACTTTAAAGTAATATGCAAAAATAAATGAAAATACTATGACGTTTTTAAAAGTGTGGTACATACTTTTAGGCACTCGGAATATTCGATATTAAGAATCACATGCAAACATTGTTTTTTATTATTTACCAGACTATTTTCTAATTGATTATCAGAGTGTATTTCTTCAAAGTCTAACCTTAGGCGTGGATTTTTTAAAAATATTTTTTAAGGTCTAGCAAAAGGGGTAGACTATCAGTAGGCGTGGATTTTTAAAAATATTTTTTAAGGTCTAGCAACAGGGGTGGACTATCAGTAGGCGTGGATTTTTAAAAATATTTTTTTAAGATCTTGCAACAGGGGTGGACTATCAGTAGGCGTGGATTTTTAAAAATATTTTTTTAAGGTCTTGCAACAGGGGTGGACTATCAGTAGGCGTGGATTTTTAAAAATATTTTTTTAAGGTCTTGCAACAGGGGTGGACTATTAGTAGGCGTGGATTTTTAAAAATATTTTTTTAAGGTCTTGCAACAGGGGTGGACTATCAGTAGGCGTGGATTTTTAAAAATATTTTTTTAAGGTCTTGCAACAGGGGTGGACTATCAGTAGGCGTGGATTTTTAAAAATATTTTTAAGGACTACCAGTAGGCGTGGATTTTTTAAAAATATATTTTTTAAGATTTTTTAAGGACTATCAATAAATTAATTTTTCTTTTTAAGGTGTAGCAACAGGGGTGGACTATCAGTAGGCGTGGATTTTTAATTTTTTAAGGTCTAGCAACAGGGGTGGACTATCAGTAGGCGTGGATTTTTAAAAATATTTTAAGGACTACCAATAGGCGTGGATTTTTTAAAAATATTTTAAGGACTACCAATAGGCGTGGATTTTAAAAAATATTTTTTATATATTTTTTTTTAATATTTTTTAATGACTATCAATAGGCGTGGATTTTAAAAAATATTTTTTTAATAGTTTTTAAGGACTATCAATAGATGTGGATTTTAAAAAATATTTTTTAATAGTTTCTAAGGACTATAAATAGGAGTGGATTTTTTAAAAAATATATTTTTTAAGGACTATCAATAGGCGTGGATTTTTTAAATATATTATTTAAGGTCTATTGGGAAGTCCATCAATAGTCGGGGATTTTTTAAAAATATTTTTTAAGGTCTATTGGGAAGTTCATCAATATTCGGGGATTTTTTAAAAATATTTTTTGTAGGTCTAAAAATATTTTTCGAGAGACTACAAAAGGCCCGGATTTTTTAAAAATAATTTTTAAAGGTTATGGTTTTTTAATATTTTTGTAGGGATATCTATGTTTTTTTCAATATTATAAGAGTCTGTTTTTTTTTACTTTTTATATTTTTCTTCTTGCTCAATAATAAAAAAAAAACAAAACAAATCACTTGCAACCTCTGTGCATTCTGACGATACCATAGGTAGCAGTAGTAGTCACCCCGGTTGGCAAGCAAAACAAAACGAACGATTCGAATCGAATACGTAACAAGAATTGTAAATATCGAAAATGGTGCCAGTAGGTCAACCAGACAAATTCTTAATGACGTTTGCAAAAAAAAAAAAAAATAAATAAATAAAATAAAAAAATACGAAATAAAAAGATACGATATTGTGTGTGCCCTTACAATTTGGTGTTGTTAAACAATAATAAAAAATCCGTTGTTATTTTTATGATAATAATAAAATAATTTATTTAACAAAAAGACAAATAAATGAAAAATTGCAGAATAGTTTTAAGTGATTTTTTGTTATTTTTTTATATTAGTACATTAACGAAAAAATAAATAAACAAAATAACAAGGTACAACAATTGTTTGCTAAATCCAAAAAGTAGACAATATTTTTCCAAAATAATATTTTTTTAAAATATATTGAAAAAAAACATTTGTCAAAATTCCGGCCTTCTTCAAAATGAGCCAGCCAATTATTGCCTACAAC